GCGAGATATCAAAGAAAAACGGCAAATTAAGTCTCAATTCGTAAATAAAACCACATCAAAAGGTAAGACAAGAGTTTTTTACTAATTTTTTCTTTCAAAAAGTTCATATTTACATGCATTATAGATATCGCTAAATCAGCTAGTCAAAATGCTTAGCTTGGGTTGCCTGTGGAAAATCGTCCTTTTTTCGCATAACCACACGTTTTCACACATTTTTATTTTTAAAAAGGTTTAAATATTGTTTCTAAACTAAGTTGTTTGCTGAGCCTTCTTCTTTTTTGTCATTAATGCTCTAAAAGCAGAAAACAAAACTGACTTTGACTCTGACGGAAAAGCGTCGTGTGCTCCAAGAGCGCATTGCATTGTTGGTCGTTCTATCGCCGTTCCAAAGGATTTTTTCTATGTCTCTTTCCTACCCTCTTTTGTCTGAATACGCTTGTCTTCCTCTCTAAAAAGGTTGGCTGTATCCTTGAAACTTTGCCTTTCACATTCATGCGCAATGTTTTCAAGAGTCATCTGGGGTTCTGAAGACACTAGAGCCTCAAGTACTTTGCCAAAGTCCCCTTTACCTTGTGTCTGACTGTAGAACTCATARAATGTGTCAGGTTTGATGCCTAAGCCACATACAAGAGCTTTGAAGTTTTTCATGGCTTTTGCGTTTATCTGATTGCAGATTGTTCCATACTTCTCGTGAGAAATGGCCTCGCTGTCATTCATATACTGTGACAGCAAAATGGACTTCCCTTTAATGAAACATTGAATATTATTATCATCATCATCATCATAATCATCGTTATCATTGTCATCACAATCATCACAACAACAACAACAATAATTATAATTATTATTATAATCATAAACGGTGTATCACTCTTTCTCAAATTAAAAAAAATTACAATTGTGTATAAATCAAAGGAAAAGCATTATATTATTATTTATCATACACAGATCAAATATTAATACATACCATTATTGGTCGTCTCAAGAAGTTGTCTTGTGAATGTAGCTGCTTCTATATCAGTTCTTCTTGAACTATTTGCAGTATTTTTCTTACTTATATAGTAGCCAGCTACACTAGCTACACCAACAATCAAAATTACACTTACAATTGCAACCAGTGCAATCATCAATGGGTTGGTGGATGAGCCTGATCTTTTACTATCACTTTTCAAAGTACTGGATGGTTGTAGATCTTTTTCGACTTCAAGAATTAAAGACGTTTGTTTTTTACTTTGAGTAGGKTGCAAGTCAGAATATTCAGGAGAATATTCACTMGTGAATATTTCAGGTATCTGAGGCARGGAAGGTGGTGAAATCTTTGCTGTTGTTGTTGCTTCTGATAGTGCTTCTGATAGTGATTTTGTTGAGAATGCCTTGGTGTTTGRTGAAGGTACTGTCCTCTTTTTGATTAAATTACATGCAAACGTAATTGGGTCATATCTATAACCTGGTAAACAATCTCCACATTCAGCATTCTGATACTTTGTACAATTCTSTTTATATACTTTGTTTGTACAAGTTGTACAAACCTGACATGGCTTTTTGTCAAAGTTGCTCGAAAATGTTCCTTCTGGACAGTCAACACAGTTTCCAACAGTTCCTAAATCCACTGTACTTCCACAAGGAATAGAATATTGCTGTGATTCTGGACATTCTGGACAAACTATACATCTCTTGATATTTCCAGTTTTTCGATTTTTTAYCTGTATGTCATAAGGATCCAAACACTTAACACCAGCCGATGGACGGACCTAAATGAACAATAGATGAGTCAAATAAGGAGATTTAAACACAACATTTTCTGTAAAAATAAGTTATTCAGGATCCTTTGAGATTAGCTTAG